AATTAGTTATTCGAAAAATTAGTTAAAATTAACATTTAAATTTATCATGTGGTTTTAGTGACAAATTATTCTGTGGAGTCCACATTGTAAGGCGGAATTGGGTCCAAAATACACAATTTACATACTGAATGTTCAAAATTTACATATACAATTTACATACTAAATGTTCACAATTCAAATTGTGTACATTTAGTATGTAAATTGTGAATATTCCTTAGGTAAATTATATTGTGCATTTTAGACCCGAGTCTACCTTGCAAAGTCGACTCAGGTCCATGGTATAACGGTCCTTTTTAGTGGGATCAATTTTTGATTTGGGCCGGGTTAAAATAGTGGCATCAGGGACCCGGCTTTTTTATTATATGAAAGTTATGTTGGAAAAATTAGTTAAAATTGACATTTAATGTGATTATTTTGAGGTATAGTTTTTAGTGGGATCAACTTTTGATTTGGATATGGTTAAAGTAGATTCGAATTCTTTTAATTAAGATGTTTAATTTAATTAATGAGTTAATACCCAAAATCGTCCTCGACTATAGTGGTTTTTCTCAATTTCGTCATAAACGACTTTTGTGACCTAATATCTTCCCAGACTTTTGTGTTTCGCTCAATTTAGTCCTCCATTTGTTATTCCGTCAAATTGGTGTTAAATTAAGGGACAATTCAGTAATGTCAATATTGATCTCTCTTTACTTTCAACTTGTGAAGTGCGAAAATCATCTTTCTTGTACGAATTACACCCATATTTACTCCCGGACCTGCAAATCAAATTTTATATTTGCAGTTTTAGGAGTAATTCTGGAGTAATTCGTAAAAAAAAAGGGATTTCGCAGTTCACATGTCTATGAGTAAAGAGATGCCAATATTAAAATTACTAAATTGTCTATTTATTTAACACCAAATGGACATAATAACAAATGATGGACTAAATTGAGCAAAAACACAAAAATCTTGGACTAAATTGAGCGAAACACAAAAGTTTGGGACGATATTAGGTCACCAAAGTCGTTTAGGACGAAATTGAGAAAAACCACTATAGTCGATGACGATTTTGGATATTAACTCTTTAATTAATATATTATACACATACTAAAGATAATGAGTAAATGATCAATTGATTCTCAAAATGTATGTACTAATTTGAGTTGGAAAAAATGTGGTTGGGAAGCTAAGGCTTGAAAGAAGTTCTCACATTGGAAACGGTATGTTGGCTTCCAGCAATATATATATATACTAGCATTTTGTACGCGCGATGCGCGAAAATTCATGCCCAATATTAAAATATTGATAAATATAAATAATTAAAAATTATAATTTGAATTATATATACACAAATAATATGTATTTTGTAAACACACATATATAATTTATCATTCAGAGAAATTGAATTAAAATATAATTAAGTATTAACTTAATATATAATGATTTTAATAAAATGATAATTAAAAAATAAGAAAAAGATATGATAGATATAGGTGTATGGTAATATTGATGTGTTATCAATGTTAGAATTAAAAACTAACGGTGTTATAACGGTGTAAGGGTAGTTTTGTCAAATAACATTAGAATGTACAACATTTAAAGTAAAATGTACACATTTATTTGCATACAAAAAGAGGGACATAAATCAAGGATATAACCTCAATTGAGAGTTGAGACTTATTATGTTTTTAGATATATATATATATATATATATATATATATATATATATATATATATATATATATATATATATATATATATATATATATATATATATATATATATATATATATATATATATATATATATATATATACAGTGAAAGGTTCCCGTGCGGATGTGTGGTGGATTAATGTGGTGAGATTTGTACTCAATGTGCGTGAGTGTTGTGCTTAATGTGCCTGAGATTTGTACTTAATGTGCGTGAATGTGTAAAATGCAGCAGAAAATATTGATGTCAGCTTCTTCCCCATCCCCAGTAGCCATTGTCCCCTCCGTGATGATGATGATGCGGAGGCGGGCTATGGTGGTTAAGAATTATGGGAATAATATACCACAGAAATCCACACTTAGCTGCTGTGCAAATTTTACTGTGCGTACGTCATCTATATAAACATTCAACTGCACTGAAGGTAGCTGATAATCCAGAATCCATGTCCAAATTGAAGGAAGAAGTAACAAGAAGCTTGGGCGTTAATGTGCGTGAGTTTCTGTTCTGCTTCCTTCTGAGCTCGTAATTATGAAATACTCACGCATATTAAGCACAAATCTCACGCACATTAAACACAATACTCAGGCACATTAAGTACAAAACTCACGCATATTAACATGACGCACATTAAGTACAAATCTCAGACACATTGAGTACAAATCTCACGCACATTAAGTATAAACCTCACGCACATTAATTCACCGCACATCCGTACGGGAAGCCACAAATGCACCTGATCCCTTCCCTATATATATATATATATATATATATATATATATATATATATATATATATATATATATATATATATATATATATATATATATCACTTTTTTGAAAAGTTTGAATTATATAGAATAGAGGTTCTCTCATGTGCAGGAAGACGTAATCACAATTCGGTTCCGATTTCGATCCGGTGATTCATGGTTCCGAAAAATGGCAAATTAAAACACTTTTTTGAAAAGTTTGAATTATATAGAATAGAGGTTCTCTCACGTTTAGGTAGACGTTATCACTGTTCGATTTTGGTTTCGATCCGGTGATTCATGGTTCCGAAAAATGGCAAATTGAAACACTTTTTTGAAAATTTTGAATTATATAGAATAGAGGTTCTCTCACGTTTAGGTAGACGTTATCACTGTTCGATTTTGGTTTCGATCCGGCGATTCATGGTTCCGAAAAAGGGCAAACTGAAACTGGAACCTTTTAGGAAGATTCCGATTCCGAAACTAGCAACTTTTGAACTTTTTTTATTTTATTTTATTTTATTTTTTACCAAGATTAAGTAGCCTGCGTATATTATTGAAATTTCAATAAGAATCAAAGTACACGTAATTCTCTTACCTTTTTTTTTGTTGTATTTTTTAAGAGTCATTAGCTTCTCCTTTAGTAGCAGTGAATTTTTTTTTCCAGTTTGGGACAGGAACCAGTGGTTCTGTTCCCGATTTTATCAAATTGGAACCAGAAAATTTTGGATTCGGATTCTACACCTGAATCAAAACCGTTCCAATTCTGGTTTGATTTCTACCGTGTATATATAGTTCGGTTCGAATCGAACTGTGATCATCCCTACTATACCAAGAGGTCAGGAGTGTATCAAATTCTCACGGTAACCTTGGTCCTCACGTTCGCTGATCGGTTGTTTAATTTGTATTTTTCGGGACTTATTCATCCACAAATTATAAGTATATTGTACAAAAAATCAATCACATTAATTAACCTCCTGTAATTGTTGGCGAAAATAAACATTGCATATTGCAGTCGTATCCCTTTATTTAGCAAGCATTCACTAAGAAATGTTGGTTATGGAAACAAATTGAAGTATATATATGCTGAAATCAAAGTTTGCACCACGAAGAATTTATAATATAATCCCATGCATCCATAATTGATCAATCATACATATAAATTTCGATCATATATAGGTGAATTGGATAATTAAGGTGGTCCGGCCTATCAAATTAAAAGAAAGGCAACTCCATGATTCTACAATTTAGAATGGAATAAGAAATGCCTAAATACACCACATTTGGCCTGTCTGCTGAGTCATTGAGTGACCATAATTTACATTCTCCAAAATTCTCTGTCTGGCAGAGTTTGAGAACTCTTGTGGTTAAAGATTCAACATTTTGGGAGAAGAAGAGTGGAATGACAAAGAACAGGAAGTCCCCATTGAGAAGATGAGAAGACAATAGCAGGACACACATTTTCCATTATCTTCACTCTTTTGGCTATCTCCCCATACACTCTAGCAATCTTCCTTGGCAAAATCACCACAGAAAAAGCCTTCCAGTACTTCAGTTTCTTCTTGGACCTGGACCCCGTCAACCTTAAACCTCTCACCCTCCTCACCACCCACCGCGGCCGCGCCCGCCTCTCCTCCCCCTCCTCCTCCTCGCAACCAAGCTTCTCGTACCGGCGCCCCCAGTGATGGAATCCCATTACTGCAAAAATAAGATAGCAAGTTTGATATGATAGAGATAGATGTTGCATATATATATATATATATATATATATGGTTATTTAAAGATGCCATGGGTGAATGCATGATCTGGGATGGTTCATGAGAAAGAAATATTGTTGGCATGTGCAATGATTGTAGAAATGATTAAAGAGATCAGGCACGGGCTAAGCTCACTGATTCAATAGGTAGTATTTAGGACAAGAAATTAATGTTTGAAACTCGACGGGGACAATGCAGGAATCATGTTCAAAGTAGACAGATTCTTATGTGCACCACCAGCATTTGGCCTTTTTGTAAGAAATGATTAAAGAAAATGAATTAAAGTGGAGAGGACAACAGAACAGATCAGATCTACTCATTTTGAAAAAAGGTATAATTTGAGAAAAACAATGTCATTACATACATTTTCAACAAAGATTGGTCAAGCCTTGGAAATTGGTTTGGTCTAAACTGTTCATTATCGATAACTACAGTGGTTAAGCGTATAGTTTAATTAGCTAAGTGGCCAGCCAGACTCACTTTCTGCCAGCTTTGTACGTTCTCAAATATTGTATACAAAATCTTGAGATTATATTAAGGGATAGATGCAATAATGCATATATAAAATCATGGACTATAAAAAATGAAGTAATGGTAAATGATAGGAGTGTTGGTTGAATTAATCATGACAAACTTGTTATTTATTATTTTTTTTAGGTACATGTAGGACTGTAGGAGGGAGACACCCCGGCCCGACATAAGGCGTCTACAAAGAAATAGCGCGATACTCGATCGCACCCACCATGTCTGCCATCATGTCAGGTCAAGAGAAGGGGAAACGATGTCAAGAACATTGACCCAAGATTTAAGTTTCTAGCTATATTAGCGAGATTACTTTATTTTGTTCCCTGTAAACTTTGTTACAAATCACCTCTCGGGCAGTTGCCGCATACCCTATGTGAAAATTTTTAAACCTAATATTATATATTTTACCGATATAATAGATATATTATATTTATTAATTTTGTAATAATCCTGAATATGAGAAAACAAAATAAAGAAAAGGGACTTAATTAATTTAGGCAGGCAACTAGATGGTATGCTGCCCACATGGCCGGGGAAATGAATATAATGGTGATTAAATTGAGGGAATATAGTGACCTGTGAATTGCAATTATATATATATATATATATATATATATATATATATATATATATATATATATATATTGACTACTCTATTGTCTCGTAACATGTATGTATAATATATATTCAAAATATAATTTTGCGAGATTGTTAAGTAGGGCATATGTATAGTTATCATGAGTGTAATCCAAGATATCCACCGTTGCACACAATAACTAATCGGTTTAATTTATTGAATTGTAAGCACCTCTAAAAGATGAGACAACTAGTTTAGAGATTTAAAATTGTTCTATACTTAAGCTAAGGTGGGTTAGATATTTAAAATTGCTCCATCCAAAAGATAGAGAATCAATCTATTGACTTTTGAATTGATTAAGAATAGATGAGTTCATTCCACTTAACTATACCCCAGATTATATAGTTAACATCAATGGGTATATCTAATTAGGTTAAAACCTAACGAAAATGAAACGATACAATTTGATATTATAATAATCTTTAAAACATATACAAGAAATTTTGAATCAATAAGACTAAACATATACAAATAATACGTGAAATACATCTTATATTATTACTAGCAATTTCTACGTATGATGTACGAGATCTTATATCTAATATTCAAACATCATTTATAATTCCTTAGTATGTAAGAGGTAAATAAATTATCAATTAAAATCTAACTTCACGAAAATGAACAGGGAAACGCTCTCTAGCCAACGGTCGGAAGAGGACCGCGATCTGCTTGAGCGAAGCACGAAAAAGGCCAAAACCACCTTCGGTGAGGCGGTAGACACCTCGATGGATCCTATGACGGGCTTCTCTGCGGAAGTCGATGCTGTTTTGGAGATACCAATTGAGGACATGGGGGCACCGATGGCGCCACTGACCATGCAGGTAACAGGTGAGGGGGAAACATCGAACCCAGTAACGATTCCCATTGTTTCTCAGGTTCCGGAGGTCGCAGGGCGGACATATGCTCAAACCGTGACAGGCCATGTGGAGACGACGCCGGGGCACGCAGACGCGGAGGAAGACGAGGACCAGGAGGAAATGTCGAACGAGGAGGATGATGATCCTCTATGTCCAACAATACGTCTGTCGAAGGCGGAGATTCGACAGATCAGGGCGCCATAGAGGTTGGCGATTATCATTAAAGTTATGGGCAGATCGATCGGGTACACGTACTTATTGCGCCAACTAACGTCCATGTGGAAACCGATAGGAAAGATGGAGCTAATCGCGATTGACAACGGGTATTTCATAGTGTGGTTTGGAGCGGTAGAAGACTTGGAACATACTATGTTTGAGGGTCCATGGATGGTCATGGACCATTATCTGATCGTCAAACCATGGATGCCGGACTTCAATCCGTTCTCAGACGTCACAGAGAAGGTCTTAGTATGGGTAAGAATCCCGTGTCTACCTGCTGAGTACTATAGTCTAATCTTTCTCAGGAAATTGGGGAACAGGGTGGGAAGAATGATCCGCGTTGATCAAGCCACAAACATGATGTCACGAGGGATGTTCGCACGAATATGCGTCGAAGTTGATATATCAAAGCCGTTGATTTCGAAATTCAAGTATAAGGGACGTGTGAGATCGGTGGCTTATGAGGGCATCCATTTGGTGTGTTTCACGTGCGGCATTTATGGGCATACACCTGATGCATGCCCCAATGCAGTCAGACCTGAGAATGCACGCGATAATCCTCAAAACAGAGAGACAGAAATCAAAGGCCCAGGGGAATCACGTGGAGTTACAATCGGAGCAGAACCGTTTGGAGCATGGATGATTGCGCTAGGGCGAAAAAGCAGAAATGGAGGTAGAAGACAAGAAAAATCCAATCGAGGAACAGAAGAAAGGAGATAGGCGGCGACGCATGGCCGGAATCAATATGCTCCAGCTTCCAGATTTGCGGCCTTGGCAGTAGGGGAGGAAGAAAGGGACGATGAGGGGGGACCTGATGGTGCGGAGCAGGAGATGGTGGAGAAGTCAGGAAGCGGGTTAGAGTCGCGGCAAAGGGCTCGCGCAGAGAGGACTGAGGGTAATGCTATGAGGAGACCGAATGTGGTTATGGTAGAGAAACAGATCCAGAATGAACTACCTGTAGTGAGCAGACCGCGAGAAAACAAAGGAGCTTCGACCACTCGTTCTCAGCGCGTAAGTGGAGGGGGTTCCCGGAGGGCGGCTGTAACACCCCGTGTTACGGCCCTTAATCCCGAATTAATTATTTAATTAATTCCATTAATAATAATTAAAAAGGATTTAATTTGATTAGAAATCCCTTTAATTAATTAACGTGGTCCACCATGGATCATGGACCCTTGCCTAAACTAGAGTCATAAGCCTATTAGGAATAAAGAAAGTATACATTTACTATTCAGATTATGGTTAGGATTCTCTTTAATTAATTAATATGGTCCACCATGGTCCATGGGCCCTTATCCCTAAAGCCAACCCCTTAGTCCTATAAGGAATAGAATTAGTAAACCCATGCCACTTAGACCATAATTAGGACTCTTAATTATATAAATAGGGACATAGAAGACACCTAGAACACGCACCACAAATAATCCCTCACCACACAAGAAAGTTCCAAGAACTCCCGTAGTAGAAATCAAGAAAGGAGAAATCTTAAAGAAAGACCCTTCATAGCCAAGGAAATTAATTAAGGCTAAGAGGTAACCCATGTCTCAACCAAACCTATTTTCTTCGCTATAATCTCTTTCCTTGGTCTCCCTCTATATTCTTGTGTCTTGATTGATTTCTTCTATGATAATTATGTTATGTTCTTGATGATTGATAAGATGATTTATATGCTTTCTTGAGAATCTTGATGACCTTGATGTTAAAAAGAAGTTCTTGATTATGATATGATGATTCTTGATGAATCTTGATATTTTCTTGATGTTAAGAATAAAATATGTTCTTGATGATTTGGGTGGGATTAGAGCCCTAGGTTGGATTGGGAATTTGTATTGAGGATGTTCTTGATTTATATTTGGGTGGGAATTCGCATGTTCGGGTGTTGTTTATATTTAGAAGTCATAATAGGATAAGTCCTACATGATTATTGCTTTTGATCCATTAATTGCTTATGTGATGTCGTTATTTGCGTTTAAAAGTGTCTAAGCATGGTTTCGGGTTCCACAAAGGATCCCGGGACGAATTTGTGATGAATGAGTCAGTGCGGGGTAGGTGGGGGTGGGGGAACCCACCACCTACCCGCTGCCCAAAGAGGCGCTGCCCGGCAGCGGGCAGCCACCGGGCAGCCGGCTACCCGCCGACTACTCGCTGCCCGAAACAGCGCCCACCGGCGGGTAGCCGGCAGGTGACCCCCACCCACCGGCTACCCACTGGTCCACACCCAACCCCGGGTCCCCAGCTTCCCCGTTTGATGTTCCCCGTTCCCCATGGTGTCCCAACGGACCCCGTTTGTCGTGTCTGAGTCTAGTCTGGAATTTCGGGTACCATTCGTAGGTTAAACGAGTCTTAGGAATTGCATGCTAGTTGAATTGGTAACCCGTGGACCTAGGTGGAAGTTATATGAGCCCTTAGAAACTATTCTTAGAATGTGAATAATCACATGTAAGCTTAATTATATGTTCCCCCTTCCCTATGTGAACAATGTGTCATTATGTGTTATTGTGTGTTACGTGATGCATGACCCCAACTTGGTTAAGACCAATTGGGCTATACAGGCAGTTGAATGGGCTGAGAACCATCCCAACTATTAACTAGGCCGGTTAAGATCGGTCAGGGATATTGATATGATATAGGACTGAGGTCCACTATACGGGCAGTTGAATGGGTTGAGAACCATCCCAACTGTTAACCAGGCTGGTAGGGACCGGTCAGGTATATAAAGATTATGTATAGGACTGAAGGTCCACATGGGCCTCGGTGATATGACCCATCGACCGGGATGCGCCAGGCGGTATGGGGCCAACAAGCCGAGGAAGGTTGTAGTCCACCGACCTGAGTAATCAGGCGGTGTGTAGGGCTACGACTGGCTACGATCCACCGAGTGGTGGGACATCGGTATGCAGGACCGTAGTCTCCGAGGATCTTTGCCCACCGACTGAGTTTAGCTCAGCGGTGTGTCGGGCTTGATCCGCTACGGCCCGCCGATCGTGCGCACCAACGGTGTGTAGGGTCGTAAGTCCCCCCTTGTAAAGGGGATCACGGTCCACCGACTGGGCGCGTCAGCGGTGTGTCGGATCGTGGTCCGACGTTGAGTTCGTCAGCGGTTCTCCAAGGGTTGGTTGTGATCAACTCCCCTCGTACTGCGGTACTGAGGTAGGGTGCTGCGGGGCCGTGTTAATGCTATAGGCATTAACCCTCATGTTCGGGGCATGCGATTGGTCCCGTGGCGCCATCGATGATTATGTGATATGAATGATGATTGGATGACGATGTGGATTGGAATTGAGAAGTGGCTTGTGCCCGTAAATGCGTATTCCTTATGATGTTGTTATTATTGTCTGATATGCTTATCCCTATCTGTCGAGTCTATTCCGGTTTTGAAACTAGAGTTTCCTAGGATATCTCTTCCTGCTTCAAAATGGTTTTTCCTATATCTATATCTATACATATACCTATATTGTATTTTAACGCGTTGGAGTGGGTTACCAGCATCTCTCGCTGAACAGATATATTTGGCTTTCAGGCATAGAGGAGTAGGCACTGGAGCGCACTAGAGACTTGGAGCGTAGAGTAGATAGTTTCCCTTTCGGCCTGCGTGCCATGCTTATGTATTTACATTATTGAGGATATTAGTTAGTTAGAGTGTGTACCTGAGTTCTCTAACTCAGGTGTGGCATAGCACCCCGTACTCCTTCATATTATGTTTTGGGATTTAATGAGAATCCACCTTTATTATATAAGTCTTAAAAATTGAAAAATTTCGGGGTGTTATAGTTGGTATCAGAGCCTAAGTTTGACCCTAGGATATGACTCTTAAGACCAGACATTATGACATTAGGCTTGAATTGTAGGTATTTAGGCACATAGGATTCAGGAATCTTAGGACGCGCGGTGAGATTGTGAACCTACCTATCATCACATAACCTCCCCTCACTTTACCCCACATTAATTTAAAGAATTTCCCCTTCGCTTATCACATCAAGGTAAGGGTACAACACACTAACTCTTCATTCCACATACTGGCCCTAGAAATTTGAGATGTCATTGCATGCTTTTACTTGCTTTGTTGCTTATCACTCTTTGATTATCATACTTGTTTATTTGCTTAAACATATGTTCCTAATTAACTTTAGACCGTGTTAGGAACTGCATATTATTACTTAACTATTTTATCAAACATGCATTATTTGGATATCTGTTACTTGATAAAGTATTTTGGAACTTGTAATTAGTAATTTTATTCAACTTATAAGGGCTCACTTGTCCTTATCATAATTAACCAATATAGTTAACTCACTAAATAGCCCGATAAGTACTTACATGAGTTGCATGAAGGGAAACTTTGGAGAACATAGCTTTAATTGAGAAGGGGAAGAATGGGGTGTGGGATCCTTATGATAATTAGTTGAAGTCTCCCATATTCCTTATTAATAACGTGATCCCATGAGTTTTTCCATGTATTCAAACCCCTTTCGTTGTTCACATAAGTATGAAATTCCTTCAACTTAAAATTGTGCATTCTCGGGGTTTTTCCCGAAATGATTCCTCCTTCACAGTCACGTTCCAGTGGGGCCTTGGTAGGAGGTCGACCACCCACCACGTGCCCACTGCCACATTCCAGTGGGGACTTGACAGGCGGTCGACCGCCCACCTCGCGCCCACTGGTCCGGTATGTTTTCTTGACTTCTCATTTTATTGATCCATTGTGCCTGTGTGTGCCTCCCATGATACTTCCTATGTATTTAAACATATAAATAATAATCTAATGCTTGAACATGAAAATCAAATTATCTTCCTAATTGATTTGTTTATATGTTACATAGAAATTATAGGGACTAATCCTATTTCTAGAAATCTAAACCCTCGGATACATTGCGTATTAAGTTTCGACCCGAAATACAATCTAAGTGAAACCGGTAGAAACCTAAAACAAGTGGTCATCTAGAAATTATCCGTGGGAAAATATATTGCGCCCCAAACTATCTTAAAACTATCCCTCTAGACCTTGGTCCATGTTGCATAATAGACCACAAGCTTCCCATACCTTGTTTAGGACCCTTACCACTAAGATAAGGACCCCCCTAAAACAAACATTTATACATAAATAGGTACATCACTACTATCCTAGATATATTCCCCTAAAACTCCTATTATATATATATATATATATATATATAAGATATGTAGTAAACCCCAATTACGTTCATATGCTACACTTACACCGAATTGTTATTATTATTATTATTATTATTATTATTATTATTATTATTATTATTATTATTATTATTATTATTATTATTATTATTATTATTATTATTATTATTATTATTATTGCTGTTATTATTTTCATTTTTATTACACCCTAATCCTAAATCACTTGCCTAATCTTAAAAATGGTTGCGCCACGTATGGTACATCCCTATACGCTTAAATCTCTATATATGTGTATAAACTTGTAAACCTATAGAACATCCTCCCCTATTCATACGTATCCATATAAATTGTTACATTATATACAATAAATCCCTAGCCCCCAAACCATACACATGCACCCTAGCTACAATAATCTTACGCACACCTATAAGCTTGACCTTAGCATATCCTAACCCTGAAATATCATTCCGTACAAACTACATCACTATTACATATATACATATATATACACATACCCTGGAATAGCCCTAATTCTACTTTCCCCCTCGCATGACCTCCGTGTTACCACTCCTACCTCCCCTAAATAATTAAAAACTTTAGCCTCATCATCAGGTCATCAATTAAGTTAGGAATTAGCAACCAAGGGTCTTCAACTCTAAAGTTGCTTGGGTATCCCGGGCTTCTAGAGGTAAGAGTTATGCCTACCTAAAATCTAATTACCACCAAGATAAAACTAATTTTCCTAAGTGCTTGTATGATTAAATTCTCAAGATAGAACTTCTAGTACCTGTGAACCTAGGCTATCTTACTCGTAATTACTAAAATATTTGTATGCAAATTGCATGGTCCAAACTATAGGTCGGAATTTATATTTTTCATGTGCATTACATGTCAAATCACATAGCTCACATGTTTACGTTAAAATACACACTTACCCGCACTTATGTATATATACAAAGCATGTTAGACAAAAACTGTATGTTATAGGACATCCCACTATACATATATGCAATATTATTAATTACAAACAACCTGCATATAAGTGCCAATACTTGTTATGTGATCACCCACCGTAATCCATGATATACAAAATAAAGATCCTAATTTTATTGTCTCCCCAGAATTTATTTACCCCATAAAAAGCAAGAACTTTCCTCCTAATTACTTATAATCTTTTCCTCAGAACCTGATTTCCGCTATTTGAATAATTGTTATATGATTTATGACCTTCCTGAATTTATATGACAAAAGTTTGGTTAGGCCACGATACTAAGTACGCGAATTTAATTGTTAATCATGCACTAGAATAACGTGTGGAATAATACACATGTGTGTTTTATGATTCCATAGGACTAGTTATTATTTAAATACTTGAAATAAATCCACATACCTTCACACTCTATACCTATAGACTTAAGGAAATCGCATATATAGCATGATTACAATTGAACACATATAGGCATGCCAACTTGCAGGTTTTGCATATAACATAAATAGTTAATTATCATACATGTTAGGCTTGTTATTTTGTAACTGTGAATATTTGGAATAATCTGCTAAGCACAAAGAATAGACATAGATCCTACTTGAACGGCACCTAGGCTCACAACATGCTACACTACGTAATTAAACGTCAGCATCCATTCGTAAATGAGGTTCGCCTGTGTCGATATATGTGCATATACACTTTATAATGATTATGCGGCTATCCGAATCTGCACCCGCGTGGCATTTGCCTCTCATTTAGGTACATAAATAATTATATGATCGGTACAACTCGTGATCCTATATGTTGAATCATTATAAAATAATTAAATGAGGGACATGCCACATGTAAGACTTCTATGTTATATACCAGTCACCCGTAGAACTTACATATTCTGTGTTGCATATTCGTGACCTTGTTATTCGGTACATTTTGCAAGCACAATAGTTAGGCTCAAACCCAGTAAATTTATATGTGTATGTGTATATATTTCCCATATAATACTTTCCTTATGAACTACTATACTAATTCGGGCTCTTTACCCCAAAATGATTTCTAAGCTTCGGGGACGAAGCTTCTTGTAAGGGGGGGGGGGGGGGGGGGGGGGAGGGAGAGTGTAACACCCCGTGTTACGGCCCTTAATCTCGAATTAATTATTTAATTAATTCCATTAATAATAATTAAAAAGGATTTAATTTGATTAGAAATCCCTTTAATTAATTAACGTGGTCCACCACGCATCATGGACCCTTGCCTAAACTAGAGTCATAAGCCTATTAGGAATAAAGAAAGTATACCTTTACTATTCAGATTATGGTTAGGATTCTCTTTAATTAATTAATATGGTCCACCATGGTCCATGGGCCCTTATCCCTAAAGCCAACCCCTTAGTCCTATAAGGAATAGAATTAGTAAACCCATGCCACTTAGACCATAATTAGGACTCTTAATTATATAAATAGGGACATAGAAGGCACCTAGAACACACACCACAAATAATCCCTCACCACACAAGAAAGTTCCAAGAACTCCCGTAGTAGAAATCAAGAAAGGAGAAATCTTTAAGAAAGACCCTTCATAGCCCAGGAAATTAATTAAGGCTAAGAGGTAACCCATGTCTCAACAAAACCTATTTTCTTCGCTATAATCTCTTTCCTTGGCCTCCCTCTATATTCTTGTGTCTTGATTGATTTCTTCTATGATAATTATGTTATGTTCTTGATGATTGATAATATGATTTATATGCTTTCTTGGAAATCTTGATGACCTTGATGTTAAAAAGAAGTTCTTGATTATGATATGATGATTTTTGACGAATCTTGATATTTTCTTGATGTTAAGAATAAAATATGTTCTTGATGATTTGGGTGGGATTAGAGCCCTAGGTTGGATTGGGAATTTGTATTGAGGATGTTCTTGATTTATATTTGGGTGGGAATTCGCATGTTCGGGTGTTGTTTATATTTAGAAGTCATAATAGGATAAGTCCTACATGATTATTGCTTTTGATCCATTAATTGCTTATGTGATGTCGTTATTTGCGTTTAAAAGTGTCTAAGCATGGTTTCGAGTTCCACAAAGGATCCCGGGACGAATTTGTGATGAATGAGTCAGTGGGGGGTAGGTGGGGGTGGGGTAACCCACCACCTACCCGCTACCCAAAGAGGCGCTGCCCGGCAGCGGGCAGCCACCGTGCAGCCGGCTACCCGCTGCCCGAAACAGCACCCACCGGCGGGCAGCCGGCGGGTGACCCCCACCCACCGGCTACCTGCTGTTCCAAACCCCACCCCGGGTCCCCAGCTTCCCCGTTTGATGTTCCCCGTTCCCCATGGTGTCCCAACGGACCCCGTTTGTCGTGCCTGAGTCTAGTCTGGAATTTCGGGTACCATTCGTAGGTTAAACGAGTCTTAGGAATTGCATGCTAGTTGAATTGGTAACCCGTGGACCTAGGTGGAAGTTATATGAGCCCTTAGGAACTATTCTTAGAATGTGAATGATCACATGTAAGCTTAATTATATGTTCCCCCTTCCCTATGTGAACAATGTGTCATTATGTGCTATTGTGTGTTACGTGATGCATGACCCCAACTTGGTTAAGACCAATTGGGCTATACAGGCAATTGAATGGGCTGAGAACCATCCCAATTGTTAACTAGGCCGGTTAAGATCGGTCAGGGATATTGATATGATATAGGACTGAGGTCCACTATACGGGCAGTTGAATGGGTTGAGAACCATCCCAACTGTGGACATCTTATATATGTTGTTGTCATATCTATTGTAGATAGTGTTATATATGCGTATTTTTCAGTATGCATCTCTTGTGTTGTATTCTGGTATTTTTTTTTTTTCAAAAAATCTACACAAAAAGAGAAGCAGAGAAAGAATTATTTGAAGGCTAAAGTGTCAATCTGGACCATGAACTATATATATCCGATTCTTCAAGCCGCACCTTGACCTTTCATAACGTATACCATTAAGTTTTTTTCACTTAGAATTTTTTACATGTTTTCGTTTACCTGATGACATGGCACCAATAATAAGCTGATGTGGATTTATTTCTTAGTCAATTCCCCCAAATTTTAATATAAATAACCAAAACCTCATAATATAGCCGTGCTAATTCTCTCAGCCGCACGCCCCCCTCGACCCCCGAAACCATTTCAACGGAGCTCAACAATGGGTATCGATTGTAAGATTTTCCCTAATAATATATATATTGTATGTTATATATTAGGGCCTTAATTAAGTGGTGCAAGTGGACGAGGCTTATTAAGTGGTCTGGCTGGACTGAATAACTAGAAGTTATTAGTCCACCAAACTCTATGCCTAATATAATCCTAGATTGATGGGATACAAGAGGATTGATGATATAGCACATTCAGTCACGGTACTCATACTGCTCAGTAGACACCAATACACCATCTAGGGTTCTTAGTCAGGTATGAGGCAGAATATGGCTAACGGTCTAACGTTCAGAGGCAACACAACAGGAAAATATGACTAACGGTCTACCGTTCAGAGGCAACACAACAGGAATATCAACTGTGGCTGGAGATCAACACGGCTACGCTTCCGCTCTTATACGAGGTCAGATCTCTCGTATACTATAGTTCAGTATAGTTAGATTATTCTATATCTAACATTTGGTATTAGAGCCTGCCTTTACAATCTCTGCCTGATTGATTGTTATTGCCTAAAATCAACATTAATTTCATACACATTAAGTTTTTGTATATGCTTTGGTTTCAATTAGTTCATTCTAATTCTTTCGAAATATGCATATATCTATTTAGTTTTGATATAATAATTTAGGTATATTTCGAAAGGATTATTTTTTGAACTGCTAAAAATTATTTTTGGCATTAAAGAACAATTTAAATTCCTTTTGGATTCGTGGAATTATCTGTTGTGTTTTATTATGAACTACTGGAATTTGAGAATCGCCGGTGTTTCGGATTTTCCGGCGATCTTTTCTGCCGGTGAGAATAGAGGTTACAGTACCCAAAAAAAAAAAAATAGTTTTTTTCCCGTTCGTTTGTTTTTGTCACCTTTCTCTCCGATTCCATTGAGTAAAGCATGTGAGGACCACGACCACGAGCAAACGACGCTGAGGAACCGCCGGGTGTTGTAGATCGTCGGCCTGTTGATCACACGCGGCTGATGTCGATTGGCGGCGGTTGTTGGCATTGCACCAGGGCGAACGGCAGAGGCGAGGTTGGGTTTTTCCAGCCATGTCGCTGCTTGTCCTTTTCCTTCAGGCGACGGGCTAATGCTCCTCCATCTTCACATTGCTCTTAAGGGTCGACAACGGGTAAAGGGGTTTTGCCGGCGATGGCGTTGGTGCCGCGATAAGGAAAGACGGCGGAGGCGGGTTGGCTTCCCGGTTCGCTGCTGCTATCTCCTCCTCTTCCAGGCGGCGCCGTCGCTGGCTCCGGCTCCGGGTGGCTGCTATTCTCCCTCGTTGCTTCAAACGTCCCACATGGCTGCTAGGGTTTGTTTTTGCTTTGTCTGAAGAAAGAAGATGATGATGATGATAGAATATAATGTTTTGTGTCGAGTCAGGCCCATTTTGGGCAGACCTGGTCCAGTGTTTTATAAAAAATAAAAAATAAAATAAAATAAAATTTAAGCCTACTTTAGTTATTGGGCTTGCTTCAGTTTTCATTCATCATATTTAGACTTCTGCTAGATTAATCGATCAATTTAATTCCTCTTTCAGTTATTATTAAATTATCATTCAATTTGAGCAAATATTAATTAGTTTTAAATTTGCTATTTGAATTTTTAATTTAATATTGAGGTTTATATTAAATTGCCTGAAGTATTGCATAATATATTAATATGCAAATCCAAGTATGTTACGTATATTCATAAATTATTGTAATAATTATACATTCATAACAGCATGCATTAAGGATGGATTTTGCATATTATTAACTCATAAATTCATTATTAAAATATCATTCAATTTTGGATCCATTGGTCAATTTTAGGTATTATGATCTACTAAAATAGCTTGTTTGGTTTTCCCTTAATTTTGAGCACAATTTTATATATATATATATATATATATATATATATATAAGAGGGCCCAAATTAAAATATTGCACATACTAGACCCTATTTTGTTTGAAACGACCCTAATTTTGACTATTCGATGATTTCTTCATGCACATCAATTTTGAGTGCAGCCATTAACTAATTGTTGTATCACTACTCCGATCCAATATAAATCCGGCCAGCACCCTTGCAGAGGCATTAAATATACTTAATCCTTCGTTCTCTCTTCCATGCCTAAACAAGTAAACATTTCCTCCTTGCCATAAATTCTTTGCTTATTCCTCGAGCAGTGGGTGTGTTTTCATCTCTTTTATACTATCTTCTCCCAATGGAGAGTAGCTGTTTAAAACTTTGGGAGGCTATTCTGACTTTCTGAGCATTAAATCCCTATAAGTGTATCTCATTTACAAAAGTAGATACTACTTTCACATTATTAAATTTGTAATATTTTCACTATTTTTTATTTTTGCATCCCTAATCCCTAAATTATAACTCATTTTTAAAAGTAAACCACAATTTCAAATTCCATTAATAATTTCGATCAACTCTCTTTTTTAACAATAATAATTAAAAAAAATAAAATAAAATACAAATACAAAAGTTGTAAAATTGCAGTTTTTTTACTTGTTTGCAAACTTGCCAAATTAGCAAGCTTGCAAGACAAATAAAAAATAAAATAAAATAAAAATTGAAAAATAAATTACCATGTCGACTTACAAGCCCCTTCCTTTAATTTTAGGATGGGGTTAGTCTAATATAATATCACAACTTTCAAACATATGCTTTCATTTATTCAACAACGTAACATGCATGGTAGTTTCGTCCATATTTTCCAACAGATCAGGTTTTGAGTTTAATTTTCCACCCCTCAAATGGAAAGAAGGAGCACAATTAACGTACATGATATTAGGCAAAGATATATCAGTATTAGCCCGCATGGGCAGCTCAACTGGTCATAGAGGTAAAAGTTGGAAAGAATGACCAGGGATTGAGTCTCACCAGCGGCAGTGTGAGAATAACCTCTCAAAGTGAGGGGGGCTCCTTGTGTGCAGAAAACAAATGTCTAGCCTATGTGGTTCATGGTCAGTCGAGTTAATTACCATGATTTACATCCTCCCAGAAGCTCTGTCGGGTTG